ATTGCCAATAGTCACAGTGGACAGACCTTTCTACTTCGAACTTAAACACAAAGGAATACCTTTGTTTAACGGAGTATTTATACAACCACCCCTAGCATAAATGTAAATGTTTGATGTTAATTGCGATGCTTATCTCATAGTGCTTAGCTTTTGTAATATATATAAGACATTCACAGATAAAATATCATTCATTAGTAGATTCATTATTAATATAAATAGCCTTTTTTAACTTTACGCATTGGTATATTCCGGTAGAAGGTCCAAAGTTTAGTCAACTAACCCTATAAGGGACTTAACTGTTACAGAAACTCATTCTTTGTTTCATTTTAGATATCCAATCAAATGGTTATTTTTAGTATACCAGTAGTAGTAGTCAATTAATATTCCACCAAAAATCTAAGTTACCACATATTTTATTTCAGAATTTGCTTTTTTAGATAGTATAAATATTGTTCCTACTTTCTCTGCGGACAAATCTTTCTACTTTGAACTTTTTTCTTTGATTGCTCATAGTGAGTCCGTCCGTCCGTCGAATCTTTTTTAACATCCACTACAATTGCTCCAATATCGACACCTAATTTTAGCATAATTTATAGGCTGTTAAAAACGGTTTAAAAAATACATGTGTATTGAAATATTCCAAGATTTATTGTATCCAACGCTGTATCTGAACTTGAACTGCAAAGCACTGTTTGACGGACACAACGACAAAGCACTGTTTAACGGACTCCTTGTGGAACCGTGATTAAGTAAAATGTACTCGATTTAATAATAATTAATTATTCATATTATATTTATGTTTTCTAGTTTATTCAACTCCATATATCATCGACTACAACTAGAGATAAATGTAACAAGAATTGTTGCAGCTTACTGTTATAACAAAAAAGCTATTTACATTTGCCTACTATAAAAAGAAAAACTGTTCACAGAGTTCGGCATTTACGGTTATGCTTTAATTATTTCTCAAAAAATTGTCTTCGACGCCGATCATCCTTTTGTTTTCTTCTTGAAAAACGGACAAACAACCATTTTCAACGGAGTTTACTATTTTTAGGTAGCAATTATGTACATTTATAGATATGTATATATATTATACCGAATTACTAATATTCGGATACGTATAATTAATCATTCTTATACTAAAAGTATTATACTAACACTTGTAATATTTAAAACGGGCTATTTTCTTGCATATTTTCACTTACATCCTCTCATGTTGTCTCAATCATGTTTTTTTGTATTCATGTGATGTATATCAAATAAGACTTAACAGTATATTATATATATTGAATTTTCTAGCTTATACGGTTAAATTTGCACTCTATCTCCTGCAAAACAAATTTACCTGTTCTTGGATTACTAAAACATTTATTTTTCAAACATATAAATTTATAACATAAACTTTGGTAGAGTATTGCTAGTTACTGATTATAAACGATCCTAGTCTAATTGCATATCCATATGAAAAGTTCACAATAAAAACAATTAGTCACCGTATATTGATTAACATAAAAATATTTTAGAAATTCTAAGAACAAAGTTTGAACGTTTACTAACAGGAGACACTTATACCTTTTCGAAGCAATAAATCATTTCCGTTTTGATAGCAATTTAAGATATTTCCATTTGTAAGTGTTAGTTCTTACAGGAAGTAATGAGCGTTATTTTATGCTTCGATTTTTACATTTAATATATTATTTACAGAATTCGGCATAGCATATTTGAGTGCTGTGATTTCTCAAACACCCGTCTTCGATGCTAACCATCCGTTTGTCTTCTTCTTGAGGAATGAACAGACTACACTTTTCAATGGGGTTTACCGCTCTTAGGTAACTCTCGTCCTCTTCTTTAAGCATTATAATTCTTTATGCATTATAACATATTAGGATATTAGAAGCTTTTAAAAATTGAATGATGTACATAAATATCTCTAGAGTCTAAATTATTTTATTAGTAAGTTGAGTTTTAGTAATCCATCATTGCAAAAATACTATTTAATAACTACTAAGGCTACTACTAGCTCTTTGTATTTTGTTAGCTGATAAATCCGGGCCTTATTAAATTTAATTATTAGATTAATATTATTTTGTTTTAATTCGCTAATCTTAGTATGTGTGAGACGATAGATATTCAGTGCGAGGTCGTGGTTACCATTACAAGATTTACGACAATAAAAATAGGAAATTTATTACTAAACGAATTCAAATATTACTAATAAGGTACTTATCTGGACGATTCTGTTGGGAATCACACTCTACCCGCGACATAACTTTTGCCGCACATGTTCATAGTTTTTGACTAATTGCAGCATGGACACAGAAAAAAAATTACGATAGTTCGTAACTCTATAGTGACAATTAAACAAAATAATATTAATCCATTGATTAATAACATGAACTTCCGCAAATTAACACCTATCTCAATAAAATCTATCTGAAATGGCTATTAAGAATACTTACCTAATGCCTTTTTTCAACAGCTTTTACTCACGACTCTCTGTGTAGGTATGTTCTATCTGTGTAGTACGATCCTGCGTTAATTTAAGTTCTTCTTTATATTTGTGCATAATTAATTAAGAATCCTATTGTATTTTATATATGAAAGACAGTCTATTATTTTTCAATATGAAAGACACTGCTGTTTCTTTTGTTGGAGTTTGATAGGTTTTTAATATATGTATATTACAACCCTATGTAGTATTCTTCTTATTGCTTACTTTTATCAATCTTTTATATTTAATTATTCCGTAATAACAATATCAAATTACTGCTGACTTTGAAGTGATCAGTGTAATAAATTTGTGGGTCCACATAATATGTACCAGCAATGTACCTATTACACATAAACATACAACCATATGTGTATATGGTTTACTTTAGTATAGAGTAGAAAACTGAAAGTCCGTATTTTTCAGTGTTAGTGAAACTGTAATTCTTAATAATGAGCACACGTCTTACATTGAATTATACTTTGTAACTATTATGCAAATTCATATATAAATAGAATCTGTATACATATCTAATCAATTTAATTGATCAGTACCACCAAAAATATATTTGGTCGTATTATTTGACTGCTACTTTAAAAAATTAATAAATGCAAGGAAGTGTCTCTTGCTAATATTTATTAATTTTTAAGCTAGCTGTTACAGCGGCAGGCAAATTCCGTTTATTTAATGTGTTATATCAGAAATCTTCTTGATACATATCGAATTTAAATGTATTTACAGTTTGTTCTAGTAGTTCTGCGCTTTCCTATTTTCTAGTTTAGTTTTTATATATGGTATATTCACGTACAAATTATATTATATATTATGTATAGTACTTTATATAATGTATGTATAGTATATAATATATAATATAAGTATAGTACTTTTTGATAATATCCGCGGTGATATAATAAGGTTGGGATAATGAAAGATTTGATCCCGAGAATTTTAAAATCTCAGATATGCATACCTGATTTCTATAACCCTCTGGTAAACGATGTGAATTACACATTTTGATGCCATGATTTACTAACTGAATAAATATAAAAATTTCAGTTGTGCACATCGTGACAAGAGCATTTTTCGTGATACCTAAAGCGCAATTCGTGGCCGATCATCCATTCGTCTTCACGATTAGAAGTAACCATATCAATTTATTCTCAGGAGCATATCTACCAAGTGATATTAATTAAGTAAAATGTAATGCACCTATAATTAAACTCATATTTAGCACTTGAAATAAAGGGATAGAGTTTGAAATCATGATAAGCATTCCTTATGTCAATGCTATGAAAATGGTGGTGATGGAATATAAATCCGATTTGAAAGTTTGATAAAGTTCATAAACTTCAATCAGATTGAAATTTATATAACGTCATTTATAGATTTTCACGGGTTTCACCACAAATCAATTATGTATCGTTTACAAACATTATAAAATATGTATCTATTTATATTAGTTTCATAAACTATTTATAGTTTAAACATAACATTTTATTCAAAATTTACATAACATCCTGTTATATATCTTATTTAGTTATTCTTCACTATTTGTTTATATAAGATGTTCTCTTAAGATCTTTCCAAATATCCATACATATATGGAAAATAGACATAACATTATAACAGTACAATATTAAACATACAAACCATGCGCTCCTATTTACTATAATAATACATGCCTTTTAAATTAGGAGTTTCGAATGATAGCTTGTAATTTTTCGTATTATAATTACTAGTTGATCCAGCGTTATTTGCCTGACACGGGTACCCTTGCCTTAGTATATTCCAATGTAACGACATTTTTCTTATTGTTAGTAACGCACACACATATATATATATTAAGGTGATGGTAACCGCATGAAGCATGGTAAAAAAATTGTTAATTGCATCGTTGCATATATAATAATAACATAGTACGAGAATCGTAGATGGTACTAATAATTAATTCAATTACATCATGTAACAAATTGTTTTTATTGTTATTGCAAAAAGATAATAATAACATTTAACTGCAAATAAGATATATGCCAATTATTTTTATGTTCAATATAGAAATTAGAGTACTTATTTAATTAATAAATACAAACAAATTTCAAATTAATATTAATTACTTGCCAATTATCCATTTTTAGAGTTGTTTCATATTTTGTACGAATTTCATTACTATATAGCTAATTAGGCATATATCCGGTTATACATATTTAATGCATGATAATATATGTAATGCTTGGTAATTTAGACACTTACTGCCAACAACATGATTAGTAACGTATATAATAATTATTACTATATTAGTCTCCTTTTATATAAAAGTAAATTGATTAGTAATTAATTTGATCAGAAAGAACTAAGTATTTACTAAAATTATTTCTACTAATATAATATTATTTTTAAATGTTTTTCGCTTATTAATCGTTATATTTTTTTAATTTACATTAACGATATTTTTTTTATTTTCTTCCACAATTGAATTCCTATTGTACTAACAAACTTTTATAATTTTCAGACTATTTGACTCCTAAACGAAGAAACAAGAATAATTTACAGTCACAGACAAGCCACTTTTGTTTTCTTTTAATAAACTGTGTTTCAAAATTTATAATATGTTTTATTAATTCTTTAAATATATAATTAAGAATTATAATACCTAAGTATCTGATATTCAACGATATATAACATTTCCGAACCTGTACTTAACTTTGTACATAATCGTCTGCGTGGGGCTCTCTCTCTCTCTCTCTCTTGCCTACTTCAAACGCTATACAGCTAGCTTCGTGAATTATATTTAAGTTTGCACTAAAATTACACGGTACGAAGAAATGACATCTTAGGTTTATGTTAATGATAACGAATAACTGGTGCCACAAGCGTCACGTAATGACTTTTTTTATAGATGGTAATGTAATGGTCTCCCGCCTGCGCTAACGGTTTACGATAGCGGGGCACCAGTAGAGGATGATGAGATTACCATGAGGTCAGGTCAGTTAGCCCATCGTGACAAATTCACCAGGATGTTATCACGATGGTTTCCAGGGGAAACCGCGTTGAGGTCAACTTGACATGGTGTCATGAGTTCACATTACTAAACAATCCCCTTCCCCGCACGTGATGACGTTAAGTCCGTGAGGCTGTTCATGTTTTATATAGATGACGGTTACAATTTATAATCAGATGAAAATTTTTGGAACATTAGTAGACTAATAAATTATATGATTATATAGATAATATATATGGACTAAACTATATTGTGATATAACCATAATATGTGTGCAACTCTCCGTTGATTTTGTTTTTTTCACATCGCTAAGACAGTGTGAACACACATAGATATACTTCCTCTTTATCTCACAAATATTTTAAGTACTTACATATTCTTACTCAACGATTAGACTACTTGATGGAATTGAATGTTTAGTACACAAATATTGTAGAGTATACTGTACCGAACAGACAAAGCCCAGGATGCAGATACAGCTCTATTTACTGTCATAATAAAAAATAAATAAATTTATAATTTGCTTTTATAAATTATTATATTGAGACTGTTATTTTTTACTAGGAGTATTTTATAGAGATTATTATATTATACACATTGGCGGTATACCAGCAGACGATTATAGGGTAAGCACAAAGACACAGAGCAGTTAAAGTAGTCCGTAGTGACCAATTCACAAAGAATTACCCAAAATAATAAATAAGGAATATCATGTGGCGGTATATATTGCTAGCAATTGTACTACAATTTCTAACAACACCTTTTCCTGGTTAACCATTAGTTATGTTAATAAGACCAAATCAGTGATACACACTGTGTACACAAGCAAGCAGCCGAGACATCTCGTTGAAGCAATAGCAACGTGACAGGATAATGAGCTCACGTGAGCCGTCAGCTGCAGCCGCCCGCCGTTGCGCGCCGCGCCCACCATTCTACAGACGATAATTTCCGGACTCTGACGAACGCGTTTCCAATTTCAAACCTCGGTAAGCACTTTTTATCAGTTGTTTTTTCGATTTGGTCCATTTAAGAAAATCTTATCAAAATAATAAACGTGCGGTGCGTACAGAATCATCTACAGTAGCGAAGATCAATAAACTTTACTTAAATATGTACATGTTATGCGGGATTAAATATATGATACTTACTCTTTTGAAGTTCAGTTTTACACAATCCATGCCACATCAGTAATTCACATAAAATAAAATAGATACGTATCTAATATTTGAACAGGAGCTTAATATACTACTAAAATGGCGACTTTCGAGTAGTATTATCTATAATTGCCTGTACGCCGTCATTCATCTGACCTGGAGACTTGGAGTTTGCTTACAAACTTTGACCATTTCGCAAATAGACAACTTAATTCTGATCTTGATACGAACTTTTAACAGGTTTAAGTCAAGCAATTTCAAAAGCACTATTCTAGTCGATATGTACTCTTTTAAAAGATATCTTAATATTTACAACTTAAAACTTCTGTACCTACGTGTGTTTATCAAGTGATTCCTCCTAAATAACTGAATAAGAATTTTGATAAAATTATGTATGTATGAATATTTCAACGGGTTCCTGGATGGTTGTAGAAAACATATTGGCTGCTTTTCCGAACAGGAAGACGCTTGTCGCATCTAATATAATGATAAACATATGACGTATTTATGCGAGGATTATTAGTGTTAGGTATTATTAATAGGGGCTGTATTTCTATATAACTCGGGTTTGTTGTGTATAAAATTAATATATTACATTAGAAATTAGTATGTTAGACCTATATAAACAATACTATAAAAAAAATTAATACACAACAAATTAGTATGTCTGCAGAAGAAGTCTTTTGTAGTCTTTTTATTTTCCCGCGCATAACGTAATGGGCCACAGATGCAGAATATTGCACGGCGCGGCAGCGCGCAGCCGCAGTAGAATGACAACTGCATTATAGGTGTATAAGACGTTAATGATGATATAATATGATATTAACAATTAGTGTTGTATTACGAATCCGTATTAATAAAATTTGCTTTATTGAAAAGAAAATAATTAATGGAAAGGGCAGGAGAAATACGATTTTACCGAACACTCCAAGGTAAGCAACACAAAACTTAACCTTTGCCGTCTCGATGTATAAGTAGTACTGTTTTGTGGCCACACACTTTATAGTGTATATTTTAATAAAAACAATTACGAGTACCCATATTCTAATAATTATATCAATCATTTTCTTGTTTTAAATTGTCAAAATTACGGAGCGTCCTCTTCCAGTTCTTATTTTCAATTTACTTTTTTTTCTATATTCGAAATTTAAGCGGCCATGTTTTTATTTGTGGCCAGTATTACCAATCGCGCTTTGTTCTAGTAAGCAAGCTGGTAATACAACCTGCTTAGACTAAAGCAGTCGGAATACGGAACAATTAGTATAATCCCTTACTCGTCCACCTGTACTAGATGTACATTTATGTTGCTAATATGACAAAATTTAATGTTGTTGGAATTATTAATGAGGAAAAATATTGACAATATATAATGAAGCTCAATGTTTTCACTCTGTAGAGTAGAAAATATTATGATTAATTCCTCATAAATTTGTTATATTATGTATTTGACAAATAGTTTAACAATTCCATATGAAAGGAAAGTCACTTTTAGCAATATTTCAATTGATAATCTCATAGTATTATATAATGTTTAATACATAATAAAACCCTTTTGGAATTTGAAACATTCCTATTTCGAATTGAAGTTTTCATTTTATTTCAATATTATGATATGCTGGCTCAACTTGTAAAACTGAGGAAATCCTCTATTTTACTGCCACCACGAGCCATTGTAAACCTGATTTGTGTGCATAGGCAGCTGAAACAATTGCAAAATAGGATCTAGATATAGTTTCCTAGACAATTTGCACAAAGCTGAATACAAAATTGTTTTTTTTTATTTAAGTGAAACTGCAAAAAATGTAACGGTCCACTTGACTCTGTCTTGTTATATCTTTGCTCATATACATATAAAATATGTATATTAATACAATTGTAGTCATTAACACACAATCTAATTTGACTAGTTACCATTTCTTTCATACTTACATAGTTTTCTTTTATAACGTGCGTACCATAAGGAAGCTATACCAAATCGAGTTATACCTACAGGTCTCGTTTGTAACTATAAAATTGTAAACTAAAAAGTTTCAGTTTCTACCAGATTACAATAAAAGCCGAATGCAACAACGTTACATAATCAAAGCCCAGACTGTTACAATGAACATTTTACAGCGTTCATTCTGTACCATGACTAGTACTTACTTCATGTAAGAAGCCACCACGTCGCGGTTGGTTCCGTTCGCTTCCATTCTTATTGTCCGAGCGCACCCACATTACTACACCAATTTGTTGAGGCATAGCTCTACGGAAACTAGCTGATAGACCACGCTTTTGTGCTCTAATGAATGCTTTCAAACGAACAAACGTAACAACGCGTAGATTAATGTCGGCCACCTTTCACCGCCCCTGTTATCTTTATGGGGCAGACTCATTGTTTTGTATTGAGCGATGTCATGATTTATATTGTCTTGCTAAGTTAAATGAAATCCTGACGCTTGAGATGAAGACAGAATGGCTGGCCGCGGAAAGGTTTTGTTCAGCATACTAAAAGCGAAAGATAGGATTTCGGTTTGTTACAAGAAGATATTGGACAGGTAGGTAACTCATTTTAATAGAATTTCGAGATAAATAAATAATAATTTAACTATTCAAGTTATAAATGCCACATATTACGGAGAGTGAAGTTATTACTCCCGTTAAAGTCCATATTTCGTTATTTTTATCACAGTTCTAAAACATTTAACGATTTTTCAAGGTTTTGTTGAAATAGGTAAATTACCCTAATATTTTAAAATTATAATCTTTTATTAAAAAAATATATCGAGTCACATCATTATAAACCAAGTTAATGTGCCACGTAAAACGATTCTAATATATATAACCAAATATGTTATATATTTATTTCGAATAATATCCTTTTACATTATTAAACAATTTATTATGTATTTATTATACAAAATTTCGCTTTTTATAATATAATTATTAGAATAAGAATGATGAAACTCCACAATTATTAAACTTCCGTAGAATATTTAATATGTCACGGAAAAGTAAACTACACAAAGTGACGATTGTAGAAATAAGTACCAGTATACTATCTATAAAGTCAAATGATCTGTATTAATCTTTTGAAAACGACCTCAGTAAACTTACAAATGAACCGAGACACAAGTATTCAAATTGCATCTCGCTAATTATTGAATATTTCCTTTGAAAACGAAGCCGCAGCCGTCTGTACATAGGTTGCTGTATACGGGAACAACTTCAATTAAGAAACAATGCAGAGAAGTCTTAACAGCGTTTTCTTGTTAGCAGCAGTATAAAAGAGAAGCAATTAGCCCGTAAAGTGAGTGCTGTAGACAATAGCGAGGCAAGTTCAACACACCTGCTTATTCACACAGCCTTAAGTGGATGCATGCGACTTGATATGACTGCGTCACGTGCTTACCATTTATTTGTTGTATTGATTTAACTAATTACTATACACACTATATTAACCGACTA